AGGGATTAGCACTGCGTGGTGCCATCGCGGGTATATCGGCATCCAGCTACGGGAATGCACAGTGGGGTCCTGAGCCGGCAATATGCCAGCGCAACACGGTCTTATTTATCCACTGGTCACTAGCCAGGTTAAGTAGAAATGTCGATCAGTTGACCGGACAAGTGGCGGTTGCGCGGATGCATTGCAGATAGCACAAATACGGTGTAGGTAAAGAGAACTACTAGACGTAGACGGTGATGATTCCAGCGGTGAATTCTATCATTTACTTGTACCGCGAAGTACAATTAAAGTATAGGATAAAAAAGTAAGTGCAATGTTACACTGATCATTGCAGCGGGAGACCGGTGACACATGCTCCGGTGAGGTGGAAGTAGCCTCGCAACCGTCCCAAAGATGCGTTCAGTGTTCTCATTGTAGAACGGTTCCCCTGACCGGTAGTGTGTCAACAAGCCGATGCAAAGAATGGCCCATCTTCGAGTGACCCGAGCCCGACTGAGTACACGAAAGGAAGCAATGACATGTAAGCAAGTAGGTGGGGGTTATGATGGAAGTTGCGACATAGGAGGAGTAGGCGCTTACGCAACGCACTGAGTAAATCAGTCGGAGGTATAATCAATTTGCCGCCACAGTAGCTGTGGCCTCATCGATAGTGGATATTCCACCATGAACCTGGCGCACTCTAGACGTGAATTGGCGTTGGAGTGATATGGGTTCGCCTACATTTGACGACCATTCTATTGTCAACCAAATAACCACCACATCCGCACATAACCCACCCAAAAGTTGTTCAGTGTTAATGGGAACGAGAATGATGAATCTCAAATCACGAGCACAACATAACCCAATATCTCACGGTCATCTACGACCGAGTTAGTAGACATCACATGAGTGAAGTTTACTACGAATAGCATACTTGCACCTGTGTACGCACGCATGTACATATTATCCGTGGCGGGCAGTGAGGACTGAAGGAACACTAGGATCACACACCTCACCTCGGAGTTTTGGTATTACTATTAAAACGCCGAAACCATTACGGTAAGAATCAGCATGGCCTTCATTAATTTCGATGACCAACAAACGACACCTGTCACACTACCAGCCTCCGACGCAGTGTAACCAGCAGCTGTTTAACGCCTGGATCGCTTGCTGACGATCCCCTCTCGTAGAACCTAATCATGCAAGTGTTGGTCGGGACAGCCCGTTGTAGGCCCCACGTCAAAGCGATGCTTGATAAGCGGAGCAATGCGTTATCACACCCGATTAGGTAATCAGTGATAAGTGAAGCCCCCACATATCGTTCGTCAAACCGGATGACATTAGTTAACACACAGCACGCGACAGCTGGTGTTTGTGCAGATGGGATAAGAGGGTACTTGTGGGGTGACGATTCCGACGTGGTACCACAAGTGAGGCAGCGTGTTCCGCAAAGGTGTGCGTAGTGTGTGCAACATTCGTTTAGCCCAACCAACCGGTTATACTTCTCGAGAGAACCACGCATTACTAAGCAATCATATATGACAGATGATAAAAGTTCACCACATCGCGGCACACTTTCTGTTCTCCTCGAAAGTTCCAATCATGAGGCCCAACTCGCAGGTGAAGAAAATTTGCCCCTGTATCGCTTTATTTCCAACCTTCGTATGCCTTCACTAGTATATCGGCCATGCAAACCTGGTAATTCACACCTCAAATTACGTTTTGACGCCAGAAGCTACCCTATTGAGAACTTGAAACCAATTTTCTCCAATTTCTGCAAAAATTTCTCATACCAAACAATATGATGACATCCTACGTCATCATGAGACAGGCTTTTGTTTAATTATTTCCTCCCTATTTCTATCCTTTTAATTTTATTTAATTTTACTGTATTCTTCCTACTGATTTTTTCTCTTCTTCATTTTTGCTCACGATTGGACCGTTTTCCTGAACGCTTACCCACAAAAGGCGGCTAGCCTAATGCACCCTGGTGAAGATAAAAAGGGTGCTGAAAAAAGCGGCATACTGAACTCTTGAATTCACGCCTAGTTCCAAATGCCGCCACATTCGGCGAATTAGGTACTCATGTGCACATACACAAATGACGAAAGACGAACGGGCCGGCAGGTTGAAGGGCCAGCTTACGAAATAAAGGCCCAAATTACAACATAAATCGATAGTGGCTAGCCCGCTTCTAAGCCACACCGACTCACCACCAAATGGGTGGGAAGATGCAGGTGAAATCTCTCGAGGGATTACCCCGCATTGAAGCAGGTCTCAAAGAGACATTCCCATGGATGATCGCATTACTTCGCTTGATGCTCCTTTGCCTTGAATCTTTTGGACTCGTTCCCGGTAGTTTCAATAATACACTCTGTCCCATCAACACCAAGCATTAATTTATTCCTTAGACTATCTGCTTGATTTTATTGCAGTGCCTATCCTTTCCTCCTTATATCTATGCCAAATGTTGGTTAACTATCTATAGTTTCCTAAACATCATGTGTTCGATATCTTATACATGACTGTAATTTGTTGATCATACTTTGATAACCGAGCCTGGCATCGCACAGAACAAGCTTTTACTCGGAACACACAGCACATCCAACTTGATCAGGTCAATCCGATATCTAGCTCCGGGAATGTCCGGACACTTTGCCTTTGCTCGCCCCTATGTGCTTACTACCTTACATCACTCGGCTAACATAGCTATGATTTGAAGATTCATATGCAGCTACATTGATGTGTTAATCCTAGCCCACTCTCTTCTTTCGCATATGAGTACTACTTCACCAAGTTACTGATAACTTGACCTGTATTACTCTAGGCTATTATACATGAGTTGTATGCTACTTGTCTGATTCTGATTGATGGCTCCAAGTGCTTTATTCCCTTTCACGTCTCTTCTTCTTCCATGAACCCGCCAACTTCAATGCATCCCGGATCTGTGCCAGAAGCAAAAGTTGTGAATGCCTCTGTTTTGATAGGAAACGACAGTGAAAACCTCGAAAAATCTTCCAAAACGTACCTAGTTATTTATGTTCAGACCCTTCACCACAACTATTATAAAAAGAACAGCAGACACCCAGTGACACCTTTTTTGTCTGTTTTCAGAGTTTACGTTCTGGCCTGCAACTAATGTGCATAATGTTTACGCGGCCCACGCAAACCATATTGTCATTTATGCGGCCCGAGTGACATAATTTTTCCGGTTATCTAACCCACGCCTGCCATTTTTCTAGTCGTCCGAAGCGCCGTGTGATAAGTTCGCTGACCCCTGATGTAGACTATTATACACGAGTATGTGCGACTCGTCTGATTCTGATTGATGGCTCCAATTGCGTTTCTCCCCCTTACATGCGCCCGCCGCATCCATGGTATCCCCGAACAGCACCGGAATCAGAAGCGGAATACTCGTGTTTTGATAGGAAACGAGAATGAAACTCCTAAATTGTCTTCCCAAAAGTGCCCACTGCATCCTTGTATAACCCCTAACGATTGACACGCCGCATAAGTGAACATATCGCACAGGTAAATATGACCCGTATTTTTGGGCACGGTTATTTCCGTAGCACGAGAAATGTGCATTATTAATTTACTACCAAGTAGCGAGCAATGCCACCAGGCCAGGAGGTGTGTAATGCGTCTCCACTTGTGGACGGGATTTTAACAAAAACAGACCGTACTGCAGCCCCACAGACGATTGCAACTCATGGGACATTTATTTGAGCCAATGTCAAATATCAATGTCAGAGATCGCAAGTGTCAACATCCCGTCCGGATACGGCAACTGGTGGCCATGCACGTCCGGAACCCGAATGCGGCATGAAATTGGGTGAAATGCATCAGCCTTACTGTTAACCATTTTGAACGCTCGTCATATGTGTGGATCGCAGAACGCACCCTGTCTACACTGAAGTGAAAAGTAATTTCGACAATGGGACTTTATCTGAGGCAAATAAATATTAGTTCTTTCGACCGAAGAAGTGCTCACTGTTTTCGAGCTACTGAGTTGCAAAGGCAACCAACGCGCATCAGATTCTGGCGGCTCAGTTACTCCTCGCCTATCACAGCGCGTGGCCCCAAACATATGTTAGGTATAACCAGCTCACAACACGACAACATGTTTCGCGCTGCACTCGTCACGTAGAAATAACAAAACATCAACGTGAGCCCGGACGTAGGGATCGACAACTAGCACCTTTTCTCCGTTATGGATCTGTGGGCAAAGCAGTAAATACAGGAAATCTCCCGAAGTTGACCACCTTTATATCGACCATCTCTCTAAGTTGACCGTCTTTTCCTCATGTCAAACTTAGGCATCCAGACCTATGTACGCTGACCACCTTGCTCCAGTCTCTTGAGTGGTAAACACGTAGGTTTTACTGTAATTCATTGTGGGATCGGCCCTGTTGTTCTAACCGTAAGCATTCCCGGTTTTGACATGTCTGGATATTTCACCAAGCAATGGTTTTAGAAGCGTAGTAATCTTCCAAATTATCCAAAGCAGTTACAGGATATCCTTCCTATTCAGCTATGTGTGATGATTTTATTCTGATTTAATGCGCGATATCCATATCCTACATAAAATTCCCGAGATAGAACTAGTTGGAGGCGCCCTACCGTTGCATCTATGCTTGAGATCATTGAAGTGAAGCCCCGAAGATCGCAGTACGGTCGCCCAATGGGCGTCAGAACGCCATGGATGGTTGCAGGGGGAGGTGGCGTAATGAACCGACCTGCAAGAACGCTTAACTTCGATGCTGGGTTAGCGTTTAGTAGCCCTAGGCGGCCGTAGCTTCAGCTTACACTGACGGGCCGATCGGAAGACACCCCCCTACAGATCGGCGCAGTCCGCACAGATTGCGTAAAGACCCGCAACGGAGGAGATTCGGGCCGTTCATTTCGTGCCAGTACGAGATGGCGGTTGGTTGACCCTTCCAAGGTCAACAACGAGCCAATGGACTGTGGTGTCCTGCTCGCACCTGTAATTGGCCACTGCATCAGCACCTGGTTGGACGCTTCATCGCGTTGGGTGCACTGCTCCGGCCGCAGTTGAGTGCGCATGATGCAGGGGTCTCGTGGGTCGCTAGCTCGCATCTGGGAAAGCAGCCCGTCTTATCCGCCGGATGTGCCTAATTTGCCTAACGGTATTTGGTCACCTGCTTCCTCTCCTTGGTCGTCGGTGTCTACGTCTCCGAACACTTTTGGGGCGCGGTTCAATTCAATCCGGACACTGCAACACCTGGAGAACTCAATCGCCTCACTCGGGATCTCGGACACTTCACATGTCTCTTCTGCAAATTCCGTGGCGATGGTGGACAACAACCGTTACCGACCGACTTCCGCAGCAGACACCAGGTGGAGCAGTTTTGAGAGCGAGCTGCAAACGTGGGAGAAGCGGTACGTTTTCCCACCCCTTCTTGTGTCTCCTCTGGCTGCGTATTTCCTTTCTCTACCTGCTGCACCTTTTTCATCTAGACTTTCACAGATCCGACCCGGACGGCAAGGCATGACTCAAACACAATTGAACGCGTTCATTGAGTTCCTACGCCGCCTCCGGATGACCGTGCGTCGGAAGAGGGAAGAAGGCCTAGACTTGTGCGCTTTTTGCCGCAATAATGGCGAGCCCTTCGAGGTGTACATCACTCACAAGGTAGGCCGTATGTTCTTGCATTTGGTGCTTCCGACTTAAGTTAGACAGCTTATGCATGACACGTGTCTTTTTACAGGTGCGGGATCCTTCTGGTCGCGTTATCTGCCCGGTGCTACGTCTGTTATCGTGTCCACTATGCAAATCAACTGGCGACAACGCACACACGATCAAGTACTGCCCCTACCGAAGGCAAGAGTGTCTACTATGATTCGACTACTTTTATATGTTGTTGTAACTTGTGCTAACCTATGCTGTTTCCCGCTTTTCTGTCGTGTTCAAAATGTTCCTTGTAATGCTCGTAATATATACTTTGATATGCGTTCCCTGCATCCACTCAGCACCCTAAGCACCCTGTTGGTTGATGGCTGTATTTCGGCGTAGCTGCATCGCAAAATGTCGATGCCAGCACGTGACTAATTCGACGGTACCTACTCGCCCACCTCATGCATTAAGTAGCCCAACCGTTCGTTCGCTGGTTGAACTCCGTGTGGCAAACTCTGCGTTGCCGATTACAGGGCTCGTTCAGCTTTGCCTAGGCAGGGGAGGTGGTCACGTTTTGTGCGACTTGGGCTCCGACATACCGCGCATCGCTAGTCTTACCTTCCAACATTGCGTGTGCAGCGGCCTACCTACATGACGCGGTTTTCGGTGGTCGTGATCAGTTCGCAACTCATGCTCAGGGTGGGTTCTGTATCGTGTCCTGAGATATCGAACTGAGGGCTGGCGTCTACGGAACGACTGATGTCTGAGCGGGAGGAGAGTGGGCATGCAGATGTAGCTCGTTTCTGGCGGTATTTTTGCCTCGATTGAATATCTAGCGGCATTACGTCTAACTGGCGCCGGGACCAGCTCATCTCGATGCCGTTGTCCGTTGGGCCGCGATGGTCTTGATTATCTGGTGTGCGTAACGGTGGTCGATTCGCGAGTTCGATCAAGTCGTTAGCAGGTTCGACACTTCTTTTCGACTCATGAGTCGTGCGGGTTACTTCGGACACTTCCGCACTCGTCGGTATCATAATTGAGGTCCGACCCTGGGGCATTGTGTAGCACGTGGTGTGCGTACTCCGAGGTACTCGACCAGACGGTCCTGCGTGGGCGCTGGCGAATATTATCACAACCACATTGGTTCGACTCAGACACATGATGTCAAGTGTTAGCATGTGTCTCGCCGCATTGTGTATCCGACTGGTTTATTGTCTCCATTGTGGATTCTCCTTATTGTGTACGGCTGTACAGCATATGGTTGGTGTTCATGGTGTTCATCCCGTAAAGAGGGTTGATCTGTTTGATCTAACCTAACTGGCAGGTGTGGTTCCGTGATAAATCTGTCGCATCGATTTCTCACGGATCCCAGCGCAGACTGCACTACGTGTGTGCCAGTGTCGTGGTAGCAAATCACTTCGTGTCCTAGAATTCGGTTGGCAGATGTTTATGTCCTTGATTCAGTCTCTATGAACCTATTTTTCGAGGGGAACTCTTGAAACCAACCGTGGACTGCAGCTTACTTGGAAGGTTACGACGCCAAGTGTTGACGTCGTCTCATCGCGGATGGAGTTGCTCGTTGACCACCGTCGCTTCCTGCTTCACCGCCGTTGCGAGCTTGTTGCTCGTGAAGTCAATCGCTGCGGGCTTGGGTGTCCTGACCATTGCGATTTTGATGTCAGGAGGCTAGCAAGATGACACTGCCGATGCTGACCCTCTAAAGTGCAACAGAACTAGAAATGCGGTCAGCAGGTTTAATTGCACTGGTCAACACGCCAACCCAATCCTCTAACCGAGGATCAACAGCAGTGTTAAAATAATACCCTATAAGGAGAGTTGTCAGAGCAACAAAGGTTAGCGAGTACTTGGAACTGTCCCTAGATCCCATTACACGATTTGTAATCACGCTTGCTTGCGTGTAGACAACCGATGAGTCCATTCGATTCCGTCAATCATTGCCTACCCAGCTACTATTTCTCATCGCCATGGGTTACTGTCAAATAGACAGTACGCGCAGCAGTCAACTACTGAGTATTTCACTTTCTACCACTAAACAGTAGGTGGACGTTGATACCCTAGCATGTATCTCGATGGATCGAGTCACACTATACGCTTAATTTATGCTTTCCGATCGTCGCGTTCGGTGTCATATTCCCAGATAACCTTCCATTTACTGGCATTAGGGCAGTACCTTTCGAAGACGGTCTAGCAGGTTACGTTCGTCCTCTCAGCGTCTAGTGCATTCAATGGAACAGTAGATTTATCACGGACATAAAGTCAAACGCTTAACAGTTTTCCGTAGTTTAAGAGTGTGATTAGAAGATGGATGTATCCACAACAAATACTAATAAAAGCGCGTAGCAATGGAGTTACTGCAGAATTCACGTGTACACAGCTTGATTACGCTGTCGGGTGTCCCAGTTACTTGGGCTATTTCATCTACTGCAGGTGATGTAATGCATCATCAAGTCGCGCACTGAATTCGGACAACGTAGGAGCCGATATGACAGAATGTGAAAGTGGGTTCCATGGCTGAGATCCACGAAATGAGAAAGGTTTCTGGCGGCACTCTAACCGTCAGTATGCACCGTCCGTGGTTTATTATTTTGCTGATTGGGTAGGCACTAGCAGGATGCAGATACAATCAGGTCAGATAGGATCAAATAAGGAAGCACATATTACCAGCGCGGATCAGTGACTGGATTTTAGCGGCTCAGTTGTTTGACGCAGAGCCACATTTTGTGTAGCCGCAGTGAGCCCTGCGGTGGAAACCGGCAAGTGTCCACTTCGTAACGGTCGAAGCGTCCGGTTCTCGAACCTACTTGGCGGTGCCTTGAACGACCGGACTTGAGTACGTCTTTAGCATGAACGAAAGCCATGTGTTTCACAAGTATCTTTTCCACTTTCCGCAACTTTTGTTTGTCTTATTACATTTCCACCCCATGTTGACTCCGTTTTCGTTCTTGCTTTATGCTTGTGCTATTCGCTTACACAACAGTTGCTCTATGCGCGCTTCCCCGGGAGTTAATTGCCGTGTGGGGTTGCACCACCGCAATCCCGTGGATTTTCCATCACCTTTGTCATCAAATAAAACCACTTGAGTAAACACTTGCTCAGGGTGTGACCTCTCGTCGGGATTTGCACCATCCAAGTCACCTCAGTACCTGTGAGCCCGATGCATTTGAAACATGTGACCATTTCGTTTTCATGTCCCGATGAAGTTACATTCGTCATCATTCGCCTTTGAAACCTGCAATTCCTCCTACCAGTCGTTCATGACATCGCTGATCATCATCCTGGTACTGATGGGTGGATCCCGCTATCGTATCTATTCGGTTTGTTACGGCTCATCTTAATGAAACTTGTTGCAAACGTCGCGTTTCAAGCTTATTTGACCTAATACAGATAACAGACCTCGAACCCGTTAGTTTACTTAGGACTACTACGCCTTAGCCACCAAGTCACGACAGACAAGGTTTGGCACAACGCTTGATGGCTGATTGAAGGGTCATTTTGAAGTACGCATTGTGTGAGTGGATTGCGACGCGCAATCTCAACGTGCACCGTGGTTCCCATTGAGGTGAACCTTGGTCAAATTGATCACCGGGACCATAACTGGTAACACAGGTAGTTATTGGGTGTTTCCCGCCCGAAAACGCTGCACTCCACTACGCGTTTCAACTTTATTTGATCTCTTCAGGTAGAGATAACAGGACTCGAGCCAGGGACCATTTAGACGTGGGATACCTTTCGATCGCCGTTTTCCGTTAACCATTAGGATCTACCAACTGTTAGCACGCTTGATCCACTTCGTTTACCCCAACCTCCAAGCATACTCTATTCCGAGTAAACGCGCCCAACCTATTCTCACGCTTAAGACGTTACTGTCCTCCTTGGCAATGGTTTTACTCGAGACCTGTTCACCTGTAGGAAGGTTATCTTGAGTTGACTAATTCACACAAATCAGCACACGACCCAGTGACCTACTTACTTGTCACATGGATGCACTGTCACCTGCGTTACTGTGGCGCGTCCGGAATTCCGGCTACCTGAACGTAATACTATTTGGGCGTGACCCGGTGATTAGGCAGTTGCACTTGGTTTTATTGTGACTTAGGGACACCGCCAAGCTTGGAATGGATTAAATGATGCTCTACATGTTTCAACAGGCGGCTGACTGCTTGGCACTTACTCCCTTTGGCCGTTCGACCACCAACGTTACACGAACTCCTTGTAATCTATTCATCGCCTCTCGTTAAGTTGCTCTTACTGACAGATTAGTATTGATGGTTGAACAGGTTGCCTCGATGTTTTGTGCCACGCGCAAGGATTGGCATAGTCTGTTTTAGAAGTCCAGCCCACAGGGAGTCGGAGGAAGAGCGACAAACAGCGCGTGAGTATGATACAGGCACTACACGACTGGGTAATTCGCTACCGGCGGTCTGGTTATTGGCCCATATCCTGGTAACAGTAACCACTTTGGCAACGAATTCTAACCCCCTGTCAGAAAATCGGGCGCAACTTGAAGATCGCCTTATAGCTATTCAGGTAGGACAACCAAACGTCACCCTGCATGCGAGGAATATGCTTTTCGATCGTAAGCAAACGCGAATGAAATTGACGTTACTTTTTCACCAATCCTCTTTTGGCGTCGGAAGTTCTGTATCCCAACCTGAAGATTCGATTGGTTAGCTGCGACCAGTACCACAATCTCAGTGGATTCACTGGTGCAAGTTATGTTTACGGGATTCGGAACGACACATAGCTCCTCAATACATAGCATTGGAATAAACACAACCGGATGATGATTTCGTGACTCGCCGTCTTTAGTTTGCAAACCTAACACAAAATATGTCAACTAGCAGAATATCCACCATCATCCCAGTGTGTTCACACTGGCTCCGGTCAGTGGTATTTAATGCACACCTGCCACTTACTGCTTGTTTTACCAAGACCACCACCATGTTCTTCTCACTCTCAAACGGTGAGCTGTCGCAGTGCATTAAGTAGAGGACGAGTCGACCTTTATCAAACCGAGAAGTCTAACAGTTATCCCTTACCTTTTAGCCTCAGCAGTCACATCGCTCAGATTTTGATTAGTGCATATGGGATACATGCATATTTATGATACATAAGGTAAGCCAACCGGTACCAATGACTGCGGTCCAATGTTTATGTGCGCACACGAGCCTAATACGCTTGGTTTCACTACACCCATTGTAAATGCATGCAAATGCCCCACTCTTTTGATGTAACGCTCTATGATTGTGTGCTCCTGATGAATACTTGGTTGCCTGTGAGGGCCAGGAACGCACTCATAGCAGAGTCGAACCCAAGGGACGGGATGCCACCAAACCGTTATCCTACGCACTTAACCCGCTTCTACCCGAATGGGCAATCGGCTAAAACTTCATAAGGGATGCACATCTTCCCTTTAGAATCTACTCTATCCAGTATCTGTAGCTACACAGGCCGCCCAGCAGAGTGCTGTCATTTCGTAGACCCGTTCGTGATCAGCATCATTATCCAGGAATTCATTCGTATTCCCTTCTCTGTGATCCTTTGCTAGATGGTCGTAATAGCGAGGCCTACTCATTCCCTCTGCATTTATACTGATTATTGAGCTTATTTATACTCAACAGAACGATGTCCAACGAGTTAGTTTTTGTCACCAGGTGGATTAGTCTGTTCAGAGCACATAGCTGAAATCCTCTCTTCGGCACGGGTGTTCGCAGAAGCAGAAGCGGTTGCAATTTATACAACTCTGTTTTGACTGGACAAATTTTGGCTTATCGGTGTACTCGGTGGGTTTCTTTACAAACCACGGGTGTGCCTTTCTTTAGCCCATGGGCTCCAAACTGTTTTCACACTGGGCCGTACAACCAATAAAATAACGGGCGCAGGTCTCATCAAATTTCTATACACTACACACAAATTAAAACAAAATCTGGACAGAAATACGAAAAACTAAGTTAAGCATTCCACGGTAGACATTGGTGAAGAGCGCGCAATCAACACATTTGTTAACTAGAAAATCTATCAATGGAGGAGGACGTCA